ATTCAAGTTATCCCTAAGCTATTTGATAAGTAAATCCATGTTATTATAATATCATAATAATACAATGCATTCAAGTTAGCTATACAATCATATAATCATGCATTCAAGTTATCCCTAACCTATTTGTTAAGTAAATCCATGTTATCTAAAGTCCGAAGTTAGCCATATATGAAATAACTTGGAGATCATTCATTAATGTGTTTATTATTTCACATAAGTTATTGTTATTTAAAAATCATCATGAGTTCAAATAGTGATAATAATTTTACATTAGCATGTTAAATTACAATAATTTATTGTTATTTTATAAGAAATTAACTTATCAGTGGATATATATTTAAATCATTGTTGTGTTAACATACTTTTTTTTTTTAGTTTAGGTGGATGGTAATGTAATTTTGTTTTGGTAGGGTGTGAGTTCAATTCCCAGCGCGTGCAGTATCTCTACTGTTAAAGTTGGGCCGTGCATTATATATTTGACATATTGTCAGCAATGTCCATTTTTTTTTCTCTTTTTATCTTCTATTGCTTTTCTGTGGCGGTGAGACTATGGCGAGGCTGTGGCCGAGGAAAGCGGCGAGGTTGGGCTATGGCAGCGATGGGGCGAGGTTGTGTGTGAGGCCAGCGGCGAGGCTGTGTATGTGAGGCTTGCGGCGAGGCTGGGCTGGGCTGTGGCGGCGAGGCTGTGTATTTGCATATGTGGCGGAGAGGATGTGGGCTTCCTTTGTGACGCGGTTGTGGCGTCGAGGCGGTTGTGGCGGCGAGGTCGTGGCGAGGGCTGGGCCGAGGCTAGGGGCAAGGCTATGGCGACAACACTACAGGTAACCCTTCCTTCCAACGTCTACACTTCCTGCCCGACTAGGGCTGCCCTGTTTCCTCGTATGGTATTTCTCTTATATGCGCCCTTTTCCTCATTCATTTGGATTTATTATTCTGCGATTATTTGCTGGAGTTGTTCTGCTCTGTTTCGCTGAGGGTAGCCGGCTTGTGCCCCACTTTATTTTATTATTTTTTTTGTGGTTGTGTTGAATGCCCTTGCTTTACTAGTATTATTTTTTACCAAAACCCATCCCCCATTCCTTGTTATTTTTTGTTCTACCGAACTGGCCACCAGCGGGATGTCACGTCTGGCGAAATGGTAACCGCCGACGGTGAGTTAGCCGACGGGAACTAAACTGCCGAAGAATTATCATTTTATTGGTTATTAGTTATTATTTTAATATTTTAATAATTTAATTTAAATTTATAATGGCATGGGGACTTACCGTGCGTTGGATTATGACTGAACGCCTCTATTTCAACAACTTTGATGCTAACCATTGCAGATTAGAAATTCCATTTGTGGTTATTTTCCCAAGAGGTACTACTTTACTCTTGTGCGACCTTGGACTGAAGAGAAAGACTTGCAAGAGGTTGAGCTTGAGGGCCGGTTATAGGCATGCTGATATAATGCTACTTTTTGTGTGCAATTGAATTATGACAGTATATAATATTATTTTTATTTCTTTTCTCTATCCCATGCATGCAGGAGGACCCCTGGCCAGAATTTATGGAAGGTCTTTATTCTCTGCAAAAATTTGTGTTGGAACACATTGAGGATCCAAGCGTCTTCCCAAAACCGCACCTCTCTGCCACATTTAGTGTCATGGCGGAAGTGTCTTTGAATGAGGGGCATAGTAGTGGTAATGCCCCTCCAAACGTTCGATTCCCCGTGTTTTAGTTGGAACATCTCGATACTGTGTCTGTCGTGAACATATTTTCCTTTTAAAACCTGCCTCTAGAGGCTCGTGTTATCATTCAGTATTCTCCAACCAAGCTTTGCCATAAAAGCTAAGTTAACATCCTTCGCCGCCCTAAGGCCGAGACCACCCGAATCTTTCGGTTTGATAACATTCTCGCATCTGACAAGATGGCACCTTTGTTTATCCGGGGTGCCACCCCAAATGAATCTTCTGACCCGTTTGTCAATTGCTTCATAGATACTCGTTGGCAGGAAGGTAGATTGCATGCAATAGTAAGGTATGGCTTGTAGGACTGATTGAGCAATAATGTGTCTCCCCGCGAGCGTGAGATATCTTGTCTTCTAGCCTTCTAGCTTAGAGTCAATTTTGTCCAGAATGGGATTAAAGAGACTCTTTGTGACCCTTTCGTGAATCGAAGGTACCCCTAGGTATCTGCCCAAATTTGGCATGGCCAAGATCCCCACTATTTCAATTATTCTTTCCATTTCTCGTGCATCAACATTTTTGGAGAAGAAGATCTGGGATTTTTTTTAGGCTAACCTTCTGTCCCGAGGCTTTGTTAAACCTCTCGAGACATTCTTTAATAACACTGATTTGATTTTGTCAGGCTTCTGCCAAAAGAACCAAATTGTCAGCGAAAAATAAATGGGAGTGGGTAGGTCCATACCTACTGGTCTTTATTCCTTTCCATTTTTCCTTCCGTACCTGTTTTTTTATAATAAGGCTAAGGTGTTCCATGCACAAGACAAAAAGATAGGTGGAAATGGCATCTCCTTGTCTGATGCCCCTACTAGGCTCAATCCAGTCTAGTTGATTGCCATTCTAGAGAATGCCTAGTCTGGTAGTCTCCACGCATTGCATTATATTTTTGATCCACGTATAAAGTTAGTTGACAAATAAGTATAACATTTCTCATCCGGACGACTTAAACGTACATTGCAAATGTCAAATGGTTTGTCTCAACATTTTCATGAATATATATTTTATTTTTTTTAGTACCTATGAATATATTATTAATACTATTGAACACCATGAACTGTTCAATGGTTACTGTATTGAACACTATGAGCTATTCTTATAAATGCACAACATTAACTCCACAAATTAAGCTAAACAACTATCTAAAATAATACACTTCAAACTTAATTGTTATATTGTATATATATTTTGGTTTCACTTAGAGATATTCACTTTGACACTTTCAAAAATGTAAAATTAGAATATAATAAATGTGGCAGTAGCTTGGTGAGTCATTTACTTCAATTCACTAGAAATAAAATATAGTAACTTTATGTTGGAAATCTTTTTATAAGTCTGTGATAATCTATGATTGCAGTATATTTTGACAAACAAATAATTACTCGGCGTATCGGGTTATTGATCCACAGGGAAGCGGGGCATATCAAACACTAGCTACTAAGTTATTCACGAGAAGCTAATCCCATCAAAAAGAGTGATTGAGCAATTGTAAAAGTATAACTAATCAAAAGGAACTAAGTGAGCAAGTTGATGAAAACAATAGAGTAAAAGTGGAATTCATGAGATTCAAGTGTTTAATCACCTAGTGCCAATCTAAAGTTCAACATCAAATTTGGATTCAAACAAGTGTGATAATGCATACAATGGAAGGAATTACTCCCGTAGTTCCAACGTAAAATAAGTGAACATTCATTCCCATGATATAAACACTAAACAATTCAAGAACAAGCATTCAAGTTAACCCCTTAACAAATATGCTCTCTCCCAATGTGCAATAGTCAAGTGCAATTGTGGGTGCCTTCTCCCAATTGCAAACCTTATTATTAGGGATAGCAATTCTACCCGCACCCAACGGGTTACCTGCATCCCCGCCCCAATGGGTTATAAAATACCCGCATAATTTGGGTAATGGGTGCGGGTATGGGGGGAAAGTTTTAAACCCGCGCGGGTATGGGGACGGGGGTGGGGAGAGGTATCCCCACCCCGCCCCCGCAACTGCATAGCATTAAAATGGCATTTTAAGTGGCTATTTTGTGGTACAATTATCAATGGGATCCACTTTCGATTTGGGTCGGGTCAAAGTGGATTCGGGTTCTTCGTAGTGAGACGAAGAGATTGATAGATTGTACGCACAAAACGGATAATGGGTGAATGAGATATTGATTCTCAAAGTAGACCCATTTGAGTTGGAAAATGAAGGGAAAAAGTGACCTTTTGTCCCACATTGGTTTGAGAAGATGATTTTCCCCACTATTTATACAAGAGCTTTTTTTAAGCTTATTGAATTGTATAGCATAAAGGCTTTCTTTCGCGCACGGGAAGGGGAGGTGCAAATCAAATCCTAGAATGAGATCGAAAAAGCTTGGATCAAGCCTAATTTCGTGTGCGGAGTCTCGATCTCATTTTCCAACTCAAGCCACCACGAATTGAAACTTTGTTTCACATTTCGTGGCCCACCACGAAAGTGAAACATTTGGTGTTTCAAAGTTCCGTGTGCAACCTTGTATGGTCGAAACATGGGACAACATGGGTCCAGCAATAGGCTTTTTGCCTTCTGCTTTAGGCCGTTGTGAGATTAAATTCAATCGTTACGGAATTAAATCCGCTATTAATTCCATTTTTTAATATCTGAACTTAAATCTTGGATAATGGCCATGTTGTTTCAAGAGTTACAAAATTGGTTTTAAAACCAATTTAAATGCCATGATGAATGCTATTCATTCTTTGATCCCTATATAAGAAGGGGTAGAGGGAGCAGATTTCATATAAGCACATAGTGACAAGAACACACAACACAGAAAGTGGTTTCTCGCCTCAAAACTCTGCTTCTACTACTTTCTTTGCCTAAACTGTGTTCATAGCTTTGCTCTAGTTCGCCGGGTCCGTTTGTTTGGGTGCTCAAACGTCGAACCGTAGCGCGTTTTATCCTGGGAAACCTAGGCCACGGCGCTCCTAGCACTTTTGGGAGGTGGCAAATAAGGTTTTAAGGAAAGAGTGGTCTCTTGACTCACGCTAAAAATCATTACCCAAACACGAGCCAATCTTTCCTTCTTTCGGTTTTGGATTATGCTTCTAAGCAAAAATCCTCCTTTTATGTTATAGTTTGGTTGGAATTATAATCTGTGTATTATAAATTCCATTTGGTTGATATGCATATATCTTTTCCGTAGATACTCATGCATATAACCACGGTGGTCTGATTTATATATATATTTGTGTGTGTGTATATATATATATATATATATATATATATATTTTTGAAAAATATATGGTGCTCCATTAAAAATAGGCCGAAATAATATCAGGTGGGAGTAAATCCCAGTACATAGGAACGGACTGTTGATAAGCCGTAGTAGCTAAAGCATGAGCTAGATAATTGTCTAATCTAGGACTAAAACAAAACGAACAAGACTGAAACAAAGATGCAATACGTCTGCAACTATCAATGGCATAGCCTAGATACGTACGCAACCCAACGGTTGGTGTAGTAAGATAGTGGTGCAGTGTCAAACAATCTGTGTATATCTCAACATTCTGTTCTCCCCGATCCTTCAACCACGATAGAGCTTCTTTACATGCCAGCGCCTCAGCCATAAGTGGTGAGGAGCAATTCCGGAGTGGTGCGGTGTACGCCGAGACATAACCCCCATCCGTGTCGAGTAGGACTGCCCCAACCGCAGCACGACTTGTTTCTTGCATAAAACCCCCATCCACTCGACAAATTCTCATCGGCAGTCCATGTGACGGTTCGGCAGCATAGGCTTCGCTGCCATGCAGTTCGGCATCCTCCTGCAGCAGGGCCGGCTCGGGTAGCAGCTGGGCGGCACGGGTCATGGGCAGTGGATGTGCCCGTGTCCACGCTAGCTTGGCGGCAGCGGCGGCTTTTAGCACAGTCTCCGGGCGCGGTAACGTCGCCTCCCAAACCGCCAGGTTCCTTGCTCTCCATATATTGTAAAGAATTGCTGTTGCATATAACATCCCATCAGAGTCTAGAATTTTTAGAAGTTCACCAAACCAAACATGAAAAACATTTGTGACTATATTGGGGATTGTAAGGTTGGATTTGTCCCAAATGTTTTTTGCAAGATCACACAACACTAAGGCATGCATTGTGTTCTCATGAAATATTCCACACATGGCACATCGTGGGTCCACATCCACCCTCTTCATAAGCAAGTTTGTAGTGGTAAGCAATATATCACTAATAGCTCTCCAGAGAAAAATTCTCCATTTTGGTGGGATTTTGAGTTTCCATAAGGGTAGCCATTTAGTAAATGTCTCATTATTTTATTGATAGTCCCCAACTACTAGCATGTATCCACTTTTAACGGAGTACACACCTCTTGGGTCCCCATGCCAGTACCAGGCATCATCATAATCCGGGGAGATGGGTATTCTCATAATATTTGCCACATCATCAGGTTGAAATAAATCTGTTAAGATTGAGGGATCCCAAGTACCCGTCTGTTGATCAATCAACCCTGCCACTCTGGCTTCCTGCAACTGTACTGGCATTTCCGTTTGTATCATAGGGTCATTCTCATCCTGTAACCACGGGTAGGTCCATATAAGTGTAGTCTCCCTGTTACCAATTCTGCGCCTGACCCCACCACAAACTATACTCTTTGCTGCCATGATGCTTCGCCAGTAGAAGCTGGGATTATTTCCCATTTGTGCATCAAAGAACGTTCCTTTCGGGAAATAACGAGCCTTATACACCCGTGCCACTAGAGATTCAGGTTTAGTCAACATTCGCCATGCCTGTTTTCCCAGCATTGCTAAATTAAACGCACACAGATCCTTGAACCCCAAACCCCCATACTTCTTAGGGACACACAACTTGTCCCATGCCTTCCAATGTATTCGTCTGTCAGTTCCAGAATCCCACCAATACCGATTCATAGTTCTTTCCACCGTCGTACACACTGATATGGGTAACAAGAAAACACTCATTGAAAACGTGGGCATAGATTGTGCCACAGTTTTCAATAAAATCTCCTTACCTGCCTGCGACAACAGTTTCTTATTCCATGAGCCAATCCTTTGCCTGATTTTATCCTCAACATATGCAAAAACTGCTTTTCTTGTGTCGTCCAACAAAAGAGGGGAGTCCCAAATACTTGCCAAAATTCGGGGCCTGCGTCACTCCCAAAATCTGAGCCACATTGTTCCTGTCAACACTACTTGTATTTCTACTATAGCATATACTTGACTTGTGATAATTAACCGCCTGCCCAGATAGATCCTCGTACACAGATAGGCACCTTTTAATTTCATTTGCTTCCTCCACATTGGCCTTAAAAAACAGAAGACTATCATCCGCAAAGAATAAATGGGAAACTGGGGGGGGGGGGGGGGCACCCCTCACTACCCTGCATCCATGTATTGCTCCCACATTATGTGCCTGCTGTAACAATAGGGACAATCCTTCTGCACAAATAATAAATAGATATGGGGACAAAGGATCCCCTTGCCTTAATCCACGAGTGGGTATAATAGGATCACACCTTGAGCCATTCACCTGAATATTGTATGAAACTGATGTCACACACTTCATAATCAATTCCACCCAGCCACCATGAAAGCCCAAAGCCAGCATCATTTTACGAAGGAATGACCATTCTACACAATCATATGCCTTTGCCATGTCCAATTTGAGAGCACTCCATCCCCCCACTCCACACTGTTTCCTGTTCAAAAAATGCCCCACTTCCGCAGCTAAAAGTATATTATCCGTAATTAGCCTATCCGGGATAAAAGCACTTTGTGACTCAGATATTACATCCTCCATTAACGGCTTCATTCTGTTAGCCAGCATTTTTGCCATAATTCTATAAATCACATTACTGAGAGCTATAGGGCGCAAGTCAGTCACATATTCCGGGGTGTTCTTCTTAGGGATCAATACAACATCGGTTTCAGTCAAACCAGGCGGGAAATCACAGGATTCAACACAATTTATTATAAAGCTCGCCACATCCCCCCTACCACATCCCAAAAGTGCTGATAGAAACCCGGATTCATTCCATCCGGGCCCGGTGCCTTATCCGGGAACATTACAAACAGTGCACTCTTAACCTCATCCAACTCAAAAGGCCGTAGCAGAGACTCATTCTGTGCCTGCGTGACTCGCGGAGTAATCCCCTCAAAAAAACCCTCCCCAGTTCTCGGGGTTCCAGCACAGAAAATACGTTTATAATATTGTAAAATAACATTTTTCATAGGTTCCCCCTCCACCCAATCCCCATCATCATTCATCAATCTAGAAATAGTATTCTTCTTTTTTCGGTGAGAGGCATACCTGTGAAAAAACTTCGTATTAGAGTCCACCTCCTTCAGCCAGTGTTGCTTGGCCCTCTGTCTCCAATAGGCATCCTCCTGAACTTCAGTACAACTTAGCAGTTGTTCTAGGCGCTGAAACTCTGCAAGCGAGGCCGGGTCGGTGTGTCCCCTGAGTCGCTGCTGTTCTGTTGTCAGCTCACTAATTCGTTTTCCATACTTGTGGTACCGATCTCCACCCCAACGTGTTAACCGATTCCCACAGTACTGAATACAACTCTGTAAACCCTGCCCCCTCCCCTCTTGCCAAGACTGCTCTACCACATTCCTGCACCCCTCATCATGCAGTCATGCCATCTCAAAACGGAATCCCCTCCTACCAGGTCCCATTCTCCCAACAGACTCATGGATCCCCAGAAAGAGAGCCGAATGATCAGATTTCCGGGTTCTCAGATTCATCACCTTGGCCCCTGTCACTATACCCCGCCACTCATTCGTTACCAGTACCTTATCGAGCTTCTCCTCCATCCAGTTTTCAGTCCCCTTCCCCTTCTCCCATGTGTACGGATATCCATTCATAGGCAATTGAGCAAGCCCACAGTCCTCAATAGCCTCCCCAAAATAATGTAGAAGGCTATTCGGATGCGGATTCCCCCCTCTCTTCTCATTCTGATATAGTAAATCATTAAAATCTCCAATGACAACCCATAGGAGGTTTGACCGACCCGATAACGTTCTCAAGAGATCCCATGACTCAGTGCGCCTTGTTCGTTCAGGGTAACCATAATAACCTGTCATTCGCCATTCCGGAAAACCAGCAATAGTTACCACAACATCAACATAGTTCGTTGAGTAACTTAGCAGCCGGGCCGTACTATTCCTTTTCCACAATAACGCTATACCACCGCTTAAACCATCACTATCAACATAGAAAAGCCCCTCATAACCAATCTTAACTCGAAAACGCTCTGCATGATCACGTGCAACTTTAGTCTCCATCAGAAATACAAAGTCGGGTTGCTTACGGGATACCATGTCCACAAGTTCCTGAACTGTCCGTGGATTACCCAAGCCACGGCAGTTCCAGCTGAGGGTACTCATTGATCCGGGCGGGTCTGGGAACCAGAACCCGCCAGCTGCAAGTTTTTTGAAAGCTCGGCCATAACAACATCCTCTCCTTCATACCTCCGTCCCCCACCCTCCACATCCTCCCGGCGGCGCTTGGCCACCGCTACAACATCCGCCTCTACGGCCTCCACGGACTGGTTCTCAACCACCGTAGACTGCCCCGCTGCCACGTGGTCAGTTTGCTGTTTCCGCCCCACGGCGTGCCTTCCCGACGGTAGGAGCCAGCTACCGCCCACCGGCCTAGGACCACGACTCCCCCCCGCCCGCAATTCCGGGCCGAACAAGTATTCCTCCACCGGGATTTTCGAGTCCCTGGCTCCCCGGCAAAATTGATACGAGTGTCCAAGCATCCCACAAAAATAACAATACGTATGTAGGCGCTCATACTTGAACGTGACCCAGCAGCTTGTCTTATCCCGCTTAATAAAATTCATCCGTCTCTTCAAGGGCTTATCAACAGACAACAAAACCCTAATACGATGAAACACCTTCCATGGTACTTTGTCGAAGCGGTCATCACTCTTAACAAACTTGCCCAAGAAATTTCCAATCTGTTCCAAGATTCGAGAGGACGAGTATCCCTTCGGCACTCCGTGCAATTGGACCCATAGATCCACCGTATCCAATACTACATCAACCGGCATGACTCCGTCAGGGACTTGCTTGCATACTAGTGTGTTATTATCAAAGGACCAGGGCCCCTCATTCAGAACACGTTCCATGTCCGTTACATGATGGAAAACAAACAGGAAACGGCCAGGTTCTATCTCCGTTGCCTCAACCCCACTGACCGGCTGCCAAACGGATGCCAAGACCTGACTCATAAATTCCAACCTGACTAGCTTCCGTGTCAAAAATCTCCCCACAACCCCCAGCTCTCCTCCACATCTCCGCCCCCCCCCCCCCCCCCCCCCCCCCTCGGCCTCCGGCTCTTCAATCGGCAAGAAGGCCGTTGCCTCCTCCTCCAAAACGACGTCCGCCCACCGAGCCGTTAGGGCCGCCACTGCAGGTTCCTCCGTTGTTGATGCCATCTGCGTGCAAGCAGATGTCCAGCGCTGGTCGTAGATACGAATTCTACCGTAGAAATAAGTCGATGGATCGACCGGAAGTCGATGGATCGACCGGAAAGAAAACCTAGAAAACCCTAGGTAGAGAGCGAATATATATATATATATATATATATATATATATATATATATATATATATATATATATATATATATGTATGTATATGTATTGTGTTATTATATTTAAGTCGACTTATCAAAGTACTATGTTATTTATTTAATCTGTTAGATTTTTGGGTAGTAAGGGAAAATCCTAACTCACTAATATTACAGCTTCTAATTATTTTTTGGTGCTAGTGGCTAAGATTTTATACACTAATGTTGAAGTTGGAAGCAAATGTAATATTCAAGTTGGTAGTTATTTGGTGAAGACTTTGATGCATTAATATTATAAATTGTAGTAATAAAAATTTTATTAGATGTAAGTTTCATATTATTAATGAGACTAAGGTTACATGCAAAATCCCCACGGGTATTCCCCGCACCCGCAAAATCCCCACGGGGACGGTTATGGGAAGGAATTTCATTACCCGCGCGAGTGCGGGTATGGGGAGTGGGGTTGGATTGCGGGGACAGGGGCGGGGTATATATCCCCCGCTCCCGCCCGCCCCATTGCCATCCCTACTTATTATTATTAAGTGTTTGTGCGGGAAGTTAGAAAGGAGGATTTTGTTTTTAATAATAGTATTGATTGATTAGATTAGATTAATAGTAAAATAACAGGTTCTTTTTTATTTTTTATAATTTTAGAACATTATGGTTTCTCGAATTATGATTTTTTTTTTTATTGCTAGCCTTATTATTATTAAGTGTTTGGACGGAAAGTTAAAATGAAAGATTTTGTTTTTAATAATAGTATGGAGTATAGGTTATTAATAACCGGTTCTTTTTCAGAATTTTTTTGGAAAAATCTTCCTTATATTCATTATATTTGTAGTAAAATAACGCTATGTAGTTTTAATCTAAATTATCAATAAGCAATTCTTAAGATTGATCTGAAACGAATCCTTGATGATGACCTTTGGTCTTTTGAGCAAAGTCTGCTTATCCTCTCTAAGATGCAACCAGACGTTCCTCCTCATGCTATGGAACTCAACAAGGCTAATTTCTGGGTACAACTTCATGATCTGCCCATTGGTTTCTACTCAGAAAAATGGCAAAATCTATTGTAGACTTTATTGGCACTTATGTCCACTTTGATGAAGGAAACTACAACGGTTGGTGGTGATCCTTTCTCAGAATCAGAGTAACCATTGACATCTCAAAGCCATTATTGCGTCGGATGCGTATCAGGAAGAGCGGTGGTGAATCGGCATGGATATCCCTCAAGTATGAGCGACTTCCTCACTTTTGCTTTATTAGTGGCCTTATTGGGCACATAAGAAGTTTTGTTCAAAGCTCTTTGAGGGTGTTATTTTGACCATACGGAGCCTGGTTTCGTGCTCCTAGCCGTCGTGGTCTGCCGGCGGCTGGCTGCCGATGGCTTGTTCTGGATGATGAGTAGCGCTCTGTAACAAACCATCCTAACAGCCCTGGACAAAGTGGTACGATGTCAGGAGAGAGTGGTAGCACGGTACCGGGTACAGTGTATGATCGTATCACGCCACAGTCTACAGAAAGAATATAATGAAGAGCGTCCACATGTCCTCCATCCATACAGATATGGACACAGATGGTGGTATAGCGTGTGATGCTGCTGAGAATGATGCATTAGTGATCCTCGAGCATAAACGTCGATGTATAGACCCTAATGGGCCAACATTGCAGCCTATCTTGATTTTTTCTGATGTTGTTAGGCTTGACAACTTCTCAAAAAATGGCTTTTGGGCGGGACCTGTGGATCAGGCCCGCCCAGAACAATAAGTATCTTCGCTTGGAACTGTCGTTGGCTTGGGAACCCGGCGACAGTTAAAGTGTTAGTGGACCTAGTCCACACCAAGAAACCCAACATTATATTTCTTGAGGAAACTTTCGTGCGCCTTAGTAAATTGCAAGTCATTAAAACAAAATTGGGTTTTTTGGTCTGTTTAATGTAAATAGTTTGGGCCGCAGAGGTGGGTCGGCTTTGTTTTGGACAGAGCGGACCGAGGTTGAGATCAAGTCCTACTCTATGCATCCAACCGTTATGCTGTGCATCTGTATGCACCATGCATGGTGCATACGGATGCCAAAACGACGTCGTTTTATTAAAAAACGCGCGTCTCCCCTTTAAAAAAAAATTCAGGTTCGATTCCCAGCAACAACATTATATTGTTCATTCATTCTGGAATTTTAGTTCATAGATTATGGAATTATAGTTCATTGATTATGGAATTATAGTTCATCGATTATGGAATTGTAGTTCATCGATTCTGAAATTTTAGTTTATAGATTATGGAATTTTAGTTCATTCATTCTGGAATTTTTAGTTCATTCATTCTGGAATTTTTAGTTCATAGATTAGATTATGGAATTATAGTTCATCGATTATGGAATTATAGCTCATCGATTATGGAATTATAGTTCATCGATTATGGAATTTTAGTTCATATGTTGTTGCTGGGAATCGAACCTGATTTTTTTTTTAAGGGGAGACGCACGTTTTATTAAAACGACGTCGTTTTGGCATCCGTATGCACCATGCATGGTGCATACGGATGCACAGCATAATTTGCCCTATGCATCATATCGACGTGGAAGTCTGTCTAAGGCCTTGTTTGGCAAACAGCGGTTAGCGGTTAGCGTTAGCAGATTGTGTTAGCGGTTAACAAATAGTGAATTATGTTAGCGGGTTTGACCAGCGGATTATATCAGCGGTCTATAAAAAGATGTTTGGTAAAATTAGCGGTTAACATGTAAAATGACGAAAAGGGTATACATATAATATAATAATAATAATAATAATAATAATAATAATAATAATAATAATAATAATAATAATAATAATAATAATAAGAAAACAAAGAAAAAAAAAAACAAACAAAAAAGATGTGGGATTCTAATCCCACATCGAAAGTAAAACAAATAAAAGGGGCGTTGGCTCCCTTATAAAAGGGAGCTCAACGCACCTTCAATTACAGTATTCTCTTGCCCATCCCACATCGGATGGGCAAGAGTTGTGAAGCCTGAGGCTTCTTTATTTAATTAAAGAAGCCTCAGGCTTCGTATTCTTGTATAATAATAATATATAACGTTAATTAATTTTTTTTAAAATTGGAGGGTGTTTTGGGAAAGGAAAAATCCTTTCCCAACACGCTGCTAATAGCAGCGTGTTGAAGATCAGCGGTTTGGAGCAAATCGCTGCTCCAAACCGCTGAGTAACCAAACATGATTTTTGGCGTTTTGACTAAAGTCAAAATGTCAAAATGGTGGATCCGCCAAAATTTTGGCGGATTTGGCATTAACCAAACAAGGCCTAAGTGTCGGAGATAATAGATGGAGATTTACCGGTTTCTATGGCGTCCCAGAGCAACACACACGCTCTGAATCATGGGACCTCCTGAAGCGTTTGTCTTTCCTTAAATCCCTTCATTGGGTTGTTATGGAAGACTTTAATGATATCCTCAACCCGGATGAGAAGAGGGGCGGCAATCCTCAACCTAGAAGACTAATTGAGGGCTTTAATGAAGCAGTGGAGTTCAGTGGTTTGAGAGATTTCAGCTTCCAAGGTCATGAATTCACCTAGGAAAGATCTAAAGGCACTGCTAATTGGGTGGAGGCGAAGCTGGATCGAATTTTGGTTTCTGATTCTTGGTGCGATGTATTCACTCACGCGAGAACTTTCTCTATTGTAGCGGCGAAAAGCGATCATTCTCCTCTCCACCTCCAAATTCTTCTTCATATCTCTCCTACTCACTCGGGGAGATTCCGTTTTGAGAATATGTGGTTGCGAGACTATATGTGCAGAGAAATCATGATCCAGAGCTG